AGTCTTTGACTCATTAGGTGTTTAATCTGTTTGATCACATGCTGGTCCTCACTCACCCATCTCCTGTCTGAGTTTTTGAATTTCCAGGGACAATTTCTTATGATTTTCATCTGCAGTTTTATTCTGAAAATTGGAAATAAATATCATTTTATCAGTATGGAAGAAAACATTAAAACTGCCCTACAGCCATGCTAATGTGTGTGTAGGTGTGGTGTGCTTTCAAATGAAGGCTAACTTCAGTAGGCTAACATATTGGGGCTTAGCAGCTACTGTATGTTTGCCACATTCATCACATTAACATTTGCTAATTATCACAAAGCACAGTACAGCTGTTGTGCTGAACTGATGCCAGCAGATGGAGCTCAAACCTACTCAAATGGGCTCACACCTTAACCCATCCTGTGTTCTATATGTGCACTGTGGGTCAGCAATTATAACACTGAGATGGTGGCTTTAAAGAAGTCAGACAATCTGAACCCTTGACAATCTGGCAACATCTCAGAGACTAAATCATTCTCTCAGACACAGTGAGCTGGATGAAACCAGCTCAGTGACACGTTGAACTCTGAAGGACCCTTCACACGGTCGCAATCATTTGTGCTCATTATACTGCTCATTGTCCAGTGATGTGAATCTCACCTCATGGTGTTAAATGCTGTATGTGTTCTTGAGTTTAAGTAATACAGTATGTTGTAAATCTACATGGGATCAGAGATGAACCTTCAGACCATGTCCTGGCATTCAGAGGATGCATTGTGGAGTAAACAGACTTAATGCTGATGGAAATGTTTATACTGAATTCTCACCTACTAAAAGCACTTCTGTGCACATTTGTAAAACAGCTGCTATAGAGCAAAATAGGATTGTTACTATAATGTGGGACAGTAATAAATTAAGTGAACGTATATGCTATGTCAGCCCAGCTGGTTACCTTGAGGCAGTAATGCTGAGTGGTGATGATGAAGGCTTCTAGACCTAGCAAAGTCTTCCTCAGTTCTTCTCTTAGAACTCTCAGCTGCCTCTCCTGCTGCTCACAGCGGCTCTGCAACCTCTGAACCTAAGAGATGAAGAAGAAGAAACTTGAGTAGAATATAATGGAATAGGGCAGAGCCAACTCAAAGTGGTGCTGTAGATTTTCTCAACAACTCACCTCCTCCCTTTGCTCTTCTTTTTTTTTCTCTCTCTCCTGTGCTTGCCTTTCTCTTTCTTTCTGTTGAGCCTCTTCTTTCTCTCTCTGCAGGTTCTCCTGCTGTTCCTGCTGCAGCCGCAGGGGGGCCACGCGGCGAGGGGACCCCGGGGGAGCTGACCCTCGCACTGCCGCTGCAGACCGCTGCCCAGACTGAACTGTAGTGAGCAAATACCCAAACACAGATAATCAAATCAAAATTTATGTACAGAACACTGTAAAAACAACTACTTGTTGGCCAAAGTACTTCACATAGGCTACATAAAAATAAAGTAAAATAAAGAGCAAGAGACAATAAAACAATGGAAGAGGAGATATGTCAACTCCATTAGAAATGAGTCTGCATGAGAATGTGTTTTAATAAGAAAAACATTGTAAATACATCTGATTTGGAAATACGCAAATGAAACCTTCCTTATGTCATTAGTCAGTTTATACTGATCCTTCAATCTAACTAGGACACATCTATCTCTAATGATGAAACTGATGAGTCTTAAGTCAGAGGATATTTCACCAGACCTATTGCTAATGACTGTGTTCACATGATAAATGATAGTAAGTTAATTGAATCTTTTCCACAGTCAAAACCGTGGAGTAATTCTCAGTCCGGTGTTCCTCATCATGGTCCATCTAATCTCAAGTAACAGAGCTGCAGCATCCAATAACATATAGACATGTGTGGGTATATTATTTGTATTGTGTTTGTGTAAAACCATTGGGCACATTTAAATAACGGCTTAATCCAGTAACGATGGAAGTAATTTGAAGGCCAGACAAACACATGATAGCCATTTGCTAGCCTGTGGGGATACACTGCATCAGTGCCCAGAACCTTTCAGATGCAAAAATCTTATTAAAGTTTTTATACAAACTGACATATGAGCCAGTGTATAATTCTCTACATATACTGTACATTAATGAAATCACGGCAGCTCCACACCACTTGTTTCAAGTGAAGCATGGGGAACGGTTGCCATGACAACATGTGGATGGGCTTCAGGGTGCCGGGTCCCAGGTAATGAGTTGGAGATCAGTTAGAGGGAGGTGGGAATGAAATGAGGGGAATGCTCTGGGCTCTGGGTAACCGAGAGCAGAGAGGGGAGAAACAATGGATCCAGTAAGAAGGTATGGAAAGTACCTGAAGGTGCTGAATCAATTTAACTGTGGTGTGTAAGAGCAATTTATAAAAAAGAAAGAAAGAAAGAAGCTGCATATATTGAACACATACATGTGAACATAAAACCTTAAATGTGGGGAATTTCTCATCAGAGAAAAATCCAAGTACTAAACTTCAAAAGGCAAAAAGGAGCAGAAATATCAGTAACTATATAATTTTTTTGAATTGTCATCAGTGTCTTTACCTTGAAGGCATATTAGGATCTTTAGAAACAACAGTCTTATGTGAATGATGTCCAGCTCTTTTGTGCATAGCCTACTTAGACATCTGTAGGTTCTATCTGGAAGGTTAGAGGGAGAGTGGTGAATACTAAATGAGTGTGAAGGCGGAAAGCAGATGTTAGTAAAGCAGCTGCTGGGAGCAGAATAATGATGTGAGAAACAATGAGACACCTTGTGGGGTGCCTGTGTATATATGTTTTATAGGGTGTGGTTAAAGGTATTATGGCCGGGTTGTTCATGGGGGGAATTCCAGTTTCATTCTGTCCAGTGCAACTTAAAGTAAAGGCAACGATAGATACCATCAGTATCTGTAGATCTCAGTAAACAAGAAAAATGTTTTTATATTAGCTGGGAGGAGGCGAGATACAAGCCATTAAGCTGCAATAAAGAGAAGGATGAACCGTAATAACAGCACTTCAGTGAAAATCCTGAAGTAGCCAGTGCAAGAGCCTAAAGGAAGAAAGGTCCAGAGTGCATGCAGCAAATCATGACGGAAGAAAGTGCTAACCATTAAGAATCTACGTTTGAAACTGTGTACAACCTGCACAAGATATATGAAATTGATGCAAGCTGCTTGTGAGTGTAAGTAGATGAAGAACAGGTCTTAAAAGGAAAGTTGTGGCAACGATGAAAAGCAGGTGGGCTGGAAAAGGAGAATTAGGAGCCACAGAGAGAAGATTACACCTAATATCCTTTGACTTGTGTAACTCATAAGTTTTTTTATAAGCAGACCTTTTGACTTGTCATAGTAAGAACAGCTCATGTATAATTAATAACAGTACTCCATTCAAATGTCTAAGTACAGTATCTGAATGGACAACTGGATAAACTTACCCGGGGACTGAGGTTTAGGAGGAACCACTGCCAGCCTCTTTGGGGAGGATGGGAGAGAACGTGTGACCTCTGAACTCCGCTGAAATTCCTTCCTCCCAACTGTCAGTCAATAAGGATAGAACCAGTCAGTGTGTTTTATGTGGCTTACTTTGATCAGAAATTAGAGCTTTATATAACATAATGTCAATCAAACCTATTCACACAAGCACCACAACGACCATCCTACACTGTTGACTCCTCGCTGTCTCTATTTCCTCATTTTCCCTCCCCTAACTTTTTCAATCTTCTGTTACCCTCTTACTTTCATCTCCAGCTATTTCTCCCCTGCTGTGTAGTATAACTACATCCCATGGGACTCTGGGTGACAAAGAAGCAGAGCATGCTGTAGGAGATGTGCCCATCACCTCGTTGCTCTACCATGACACCAAGAAAGACAAGAATCAGGAACTCAAAATTATCTTTGACATTGTTTTCCTGCTCATGCTTCATCTTTTTGCAAGTCACATTAAATCTAGATTCAAAATGATAAAGGTGAGTTATGCAGGAGCTCATAGAAACAGCTGCTAGTGAATAAGGTGTAGGTTTCAGGAGCAGTAAATCTTTTGTGAAGCAGAGAGGAGTGGAGGCCTTGAAAATAAACTAATTAGACTTGTAATAGGAGACAAGCCTCTGATCCTGAACAAATCCCCATATAGCCCTGGAGAGATAGTTTAAGTCTGTAGAGACACTGTGCGTGTGTGTGTCCATTGAGCATGTGTTGGTGTGGTGATGCAAACCTGGCTTTCAGAGTGACTCATTACTGCCAATACGCACACAGACTGCCACACTACACCACTATACTGTGAAATCTAACAAGACAATTTTGAACTTGGAGTGTAAAATCTACTTTAAACAAATGCTTTCTCAAATATATTTTGGGAAAAACTCTTACAAGGAGTTAAGTGAGAACATCAGTAGGTATGTGTTTAACAGAGATGCAGCTGTGATGTGTAGCCCAACTGAACACAAAAACCATCAAATGAAGGCAAGAAATAGCCTCTATCAAAAGTAAAATGCTAATAACTCTGTCAGGAAGTCCAAAACTATCATGCACCATTACTTGACTACTGTTGAGATTAGTGAATAAGCAATATTATGATATAGTACAGCACCATTTATACAATTAATTTGGAAATATGGTTGTGAAATGATGCAACAGCTAGTTTGAGAGTCTACACCCATACTAGCAGCGCTTTGAGGATTTAGCCTATAGGCTTAGCTGTGCTTTGAGCTAATTGCTAACAACAGCATGCTAACATGTCATATTAAGCCTCTTAGCATGCTAACATTTGATAATTAACACAGAGTAGGCTGATGAGAATGTCACACACAGAAATTAATTGGAATCCACCCAGCTGTTGTAAAGACATGTCACCAAAAGTTTCTAGAAACCTAGGAAATCATCAGAGTCACAGGCATCCAAACCAGTTACTGAGATATTTCAGTCTGGACCAGAGTGGTGGTCTGAATGATCAATTTACACCTTCTGTTGCCATTAGACACGCCTAGAGGTCAGCACATCTTGGGGTCACAACTGATCTTAGATGAACTGTGGGCTGATGGAAATTAATATCAATAAGACAATGTCTTGTTGTCTAAAATGTGCGTTGCCCTAGTACATTGTATTTGTTGTTCTGCCATGAATTCTGCAGTTATTGCAAAAGTTTTAAGTCAGCTCATATGTGTGAATGAGTGAAATGTGATACTACAGGGTTTTTGGTGTTAATTTCCATGCGCAAAAATACAACCATGTGTGAAAAGCATCATTGCCAGTGCACCTCCTCTCTTCTAAACAGACAGTACTGGCACTAGGTGTGGCCTAACAAGTTAATCAACATTTATTAGCAGAATACTGAACAACATAACAAATGAGTAGTCATTTGTGTTTTATGGTACACAGTATAGCTTTAAAACCAGAAAGGGTATTTTACACTCTTTGCATTTGATATTTTACTGTTTCCTAGGGCATGATAAATTACTGCCATAATGTCAACACCAGAATAAATGGCCAAAATTAGCATTTAAAAGGCAATTTTTCAAATGACGTTCAACAACCCACAAAAACAGCAACTGCTTAGTGAGATGGCAGCGAGGCATAGAATAGTCTACCATGGATGTTTCACTGTATAAATATTTAACACTTGTGTCAATTATTATGTCTGTACGGAAGCATCTGCCCCTTGATTCTCAACAATAAAACTTGTTTACCACTTACTGAATGTGACAACAGCACATGATATGTTGCCAGCAGCTCAAATTTGCATGTATTAAATCCCAATGACAGCATTTGGATATGTACTGTATAACAAACAAACTATTTTGCTCGTCAAAGGAAACCTGTATTAATCATGGTCAGTCCTTGTACACAAACTTCTACTGACCTCCAGGGGAGCTTCTTGGCTGGGGAGGCAGATAGCGCCGGGGCAGGGCCGGGGTGGAAGGCGGCTGGAGGCTGTTGCTGCGGCATGGTGCTACTCTCTGGTGATCTGTTGATGGAGGGCCGGTGGTCACTCTGTGAAGAGGAGGCTCCTCACTCACACTCAGTCCTGAAATATACAGGATTACATGTGGTAATGTGGTTTTAACTTAAATGTTTTTTTTTTTTTTTACAATTTACAGTACCTATGGAAGGATATACCTTCAGCCTTCCCTTTGTGATATGCTCTATCTTTATTGCCATCTTTGATCCTTTTCATAATCACATATTGGTTTTTCTTCAATCTGATAGGGCTGTGTTAAGTGTGAATTTAGGTTCACTGGACTGCGAAATGGTTTTGTAACCTCTGGGTCGCTCTGCTGCTGCTCTCAATCTTCCCTTTCTTAACCTTGAGCAGTGTACTTACCCTGCACACACACACACACACACACACACACACACACACGTTTACACAGGGACACCTCAGTGCTTCTACATGAGCATATACTGTACATACACAAGAAAATCCAACGCACTCTGACACATAAGCACACTGCTCATCACTCATCCTGGCCTTTAATATGGTTATAATCTATCAAATGACAAGTAGATTATTAACACAGTCTCACAGATAGATATCAGGAGTTTCTCTTGGACTGCATTGCCTTATGTTAGAGCCAAGTCCCCCAGGCACTAAGCACTAGTATAGTACATTGTAGGGAACCTCATCAATTCAGGGGAGCAGCTTTAGACTGTGGTGTGGAAAGAAATCATCCTCCCTGTGCATATACAAACAAGATAACGTATGTATGCACACACACACACACATACGCCAATGGCAGTGAACCATTATGGAAGGCAGTGGCCTGACTATTAGGGGTAACTTGGGTTACAGTGATACTTCGCTACATGGACAGAGGAACTGGGGTATCAAACTACCAAACCTGTCATCTACTGAGGCAGAGGAGGGTTTTGATGACAATAACTTAGAAAAAAAAATGTGCCTGAGGCAATTTATGCTGAGAATCATACTGTATGTTTGTGCCAAGTGGTTCACTAAATAATTCAGAACAAGAACTGGAGCAAGAATGAAACAATCCTAGCTCAGGTCATGAGCTTGACAATAATGGGCCAAATAGCATTTACTAGTGATGTATGTAACAATCTCAAAGCTCCTCAAAGTTGAATAGCAAGGCCGTCTACAGTGTTCCCTCCTTCATTAACCGGTCAAAGTCATGGGCAGGCCAAATATGACCTGTTACTAAGCTTTCCATTTACTACTGTCAACATCCTCCATGGGTTAAGATAAAAAAAACAAAAACATTTGTAAATAATACATGTCAGTCAGGTTAGTGATTGACACAGAACAATTGGCTGGATGATATGAACAAAGCTCATTAGTTAAAGGTCAAGTATGAACAAATTCCCAGGGCACTGAGCAGAGATAAGAAGAGTAACTGACGAGAGTAGCCAGAGATACAAAACTGATTGTTGCTGTGAATGATAAAAGGGAGTGTGCAATTCTTAGAGAAGGAGGGAAAAAAGGATGTGCTTTGTAACGGTAAAAGCAAGCTGATGTGCATCTTTGATTGACAAAAGATGATGGATGACAGAGTGTGAGGAAGATAGGAAGAAGGAAGGAAGAGGCTGGCTGTAAGGCGAAGAAGAATAAATGGATGGCACCGCAATGGAGCTGGCAGCAAGTGTAGCATATTATGAAGATGGATGGAAAATACCAGCGATATTAAAAAGGGACCTCGAGCAAGAGGAAACAGCTCAGAACAAAAGACAACAGGTTCTTCTGGCTCAGTAGGAGGCCATTTTATTGGAGCAGCTTACGCCTCATAGCAGAACTAATGGCAGTAGAATAACGCTGACCCTTATATCTCGGTTCTCAAAAACTGACGAGGAAACACATATTGAACCAGGATAAAACTGAGCCATGTGCATTCTTAGAGTTTTTCCTTTGCAAAATGGTAATGTAACTGCATGTCACTTCCATGAGTACCAGTTTGAATGTGATAGCAAAATAGCAAAAATTAGGCCTTGCAGGTGTTTCATTTGACTAGCAGAAACCATTCTGTGATTTCTTGTCAGTTATATCAGCATGGTCACATTCTGCAAAAGAATCTCCCCTGCTGTCCTAAATCAATTGCTCATGGTGTAGTCAGTATACAGCACAAGCAGCTCACATCCAGGTGCACACATGCATTTACATCCAGTGCTGAAGTGGACCCACTGCACAGCTTGAAACACTGACATGCCAGGAACTAGCTTCCTCCTTTTTCAGCAAAGTAAGCAAATTGTAGTGTATGGTTAAAAAGAAAAACAAAAGAAAAGCAGCAACATCTGGTGCGCATGGACTCACTGGGGTATTTAGTAGAAAGGTGATCAACTGGGTGTTGGTGCTGGTGTGGAGGGATGAAGAAATTACTGTCTATAGTTTGTACCTGATTTATTCTAGTAATGTTTTATGAGCATTTCCACGTTTAATACAGAGGTGATGTAATTGGATCATTGACTTAAGTAAAACCAAGTTACATTTGAAAATATTATCAATAAAATGCACTTGAGGAATCCAAAATGAAAATATGCATTATGCAAAAAGGGTTTATTCAGTGCAATAGTATTATATATAATTTTTTAATGAAATAATATATAAATAAAAACCTGAATAAAAACAACTGCCAAATTGTGCATGACTGCTCTGAGCAACAAAGTTTACAAATGCAAAGTACTCATTTATGCCTCTGTTACAATGTGTATTAACGTCAAGGTTAAAGCTGTTTATATAAACCACAAACTAATGGTTTCCAGAGAGAGACCTGGGCTGTAGAATGAGAGACAGAATAGATGATAACACTGGAAAACACAGCAGCAACCATGGCCCTCCTGTCCTCTCCACTCCTGTCAGGACCCAGATGACAGGAGACGAAAGGTTCAGTCCAACCAGAAGGACGTGGTCAACTAGAGAGCACCAGCATTTTACTGAAGCCAGTCAAGTGGCATTGTGAATGTATGACAGGTTCATGCCTTAAGACAAATATGTCTCTGGACAAAGTGATGGGGCTGTCAGGAATCTGCTGACCACAGAAGTAAAGTAGCCCTAACAAGGTAAAGGATAGGACAAGAAGTTATGAAATGATTCATCCTGATGAGGACAGAATGAGGAATGGACAGTTAGCTGAAGTTCTATGACTGACTGAAACACAGGGCAGCAGTGACAGCTAAATCTTTACTGCCTTGAACAAGGCACTAAGTGCTAGTTTTACATTCAGTATGAAAGCTCAGCTTACTGCTGTGCCATTCAATCAGTTTGTGCTACAGTGATTGATTAACTAATTGAGGCAATAGCTTCCTACACAAAAAGTGAGTGCAGGCACATTTTTAGTGGTGCTTAGTCTTTGTCTTGCTGTCACTAAGATTTCTATAGAACTGGGGTGAATTCTTTTTTTTTTCACTACAGTCATTCTTTAGTGCAAATCTGCACCTGTATTTTAGATGCAGAGACATTTCACAGAAACATGAACCTCACAAATGGTGTGAAGGTTACTGTATTAATCTTAGTACAGTGCACTAACAAGTTTTTTTTTGCATAACATTAAACTGCCAATTTAATTATGTGGAAGAACAAAGCCTAGTCAGTGGATGTTAGAAAAGTAAATACATATAAATGTTAATAGGGGGTTAGGTGTTAGGGTTAGGGTTAGTATGACATTATATATACATATGTATAGGTAGGGTGCACGCTGGTCACTAGTCTATCACAGGCCTGACACTTAGAGACAGACAACCACATATGCCCACATTCACTCCTATGGGAAATTTAGAATCACAAATCAAGCTAAGCTGCATGTCTTTGGACTGTGGGAAGAAGATATATGTGTTTATATATGTTTATCTGATTTTGAAGGCCTGTTTCAACATTCCT